AAATTTCAAGTTGGTTACTAATTTTTAGAAACTTAGGACAACTTGATGATTTGTGCACCTATTAATTATATAATCTAATTGTCAAAATAAAACCTAAAAAATTAAACATTTTGACTAAATAAATAAATAAGAGATTTAAAATATTAAATCTAAACTAGACATAAAATAAAAGGTATGTATAAAAAATTTCAGAACTAATTTATCTATAAAAAAAATGGTAGAAATTAGGGTTATTGGGTCTTTTGGGCCTAATGGGCCTTCAGCCCATTGGGCTGGCCTATCCACCTTCACCCTTGAGACTAAGCTAAGCCTAGCCCAAACTTAATCTCACACGGGCTGGGCCAAAGCCTAGCCCGTTCAAGCCTCTCATTGCCCAACCCTTTTTCATTTTAGTTACCAGTCCCGAAAGATCAAAGCACATGAAATCCCTAAGCAACTCGTCTTCCTCCTCTTTTATTCAAACTGCTAAGTGACAGGTAGATCACTCAACTCTACTTCAAACTCAAATGGAAACCAAAGACTTGTTTATCACGTAAAAATCTTCTCCTCCCTCTTGTTATCTGGGTTATTTTGTATGTAATGAAGTCGTAAAAAAGAAACTGTCCTCACTTGATTTGGGCAGTAATGGCACCGGATCGATGTTGTCCAGGATTTGAAATTTCACCAGGGGGAGACTACTGGTTTTCTTGGGAACTTTCAGATTCAACAGAAAGCCATGATTTTGGGAAAATAAAAGCAATAACCTGGCAAGTATGAACTTGAGGGTGAAGGTTACCTAGTGACAATGTGATGATTCCCCGGTCTGAACTAGAAAATGCAATCTGGGTGGGACAAGTTTACAAAGGATCCCTGTCAATCTTTAAACCTGAATTGGAGAACCAGCTTGGGCGTGTGGATGGAGATTGGCGACAGTAATCTTTTTCCTCAGTGCTTCCCCTGTTTTTCCAATCCCAGCTTCAATCCCTCTCCTCTCCCTTTTGTTTTTTTCTGGGTTTCAAGAATATGGTAATTGAATCTTCAATTACTGAAACTAAGCTATTCTTATCCAAAAAAACTCTTTTGCAAGCCTAGATTCCTCTCAAAAAAAAAAAAAAAAAAACAAAAACAAAACAAAACAAAAAAACAAAAAACAAAAAAACCAGAACATACTCTCGAAAGAACCTAGAAATTCCTCTTCCCCTAAAAATTTTCTCCCTTTTTAAACCAGAGATTTGTCCCCTATTTTTACCCAAAACCTAACTTCCCTCAGCCTTAGGTCCATCTCGCCAATTGATCAGAACCATTCCCGCTAGACATCAAAACCCCCAAGCTCCTGCATTCCGTCTGTTTTGTGCAGAGCCAAAATGAGAATCGTGTAGTGCGTGTGTGCAGTTGTGGCACAAATGTGGTGTGTTGTGGTGGACGCAGTGGATGAAGCGTGATTCTTGGCTAGTAGAATTGCCAGTTAGGAATCGGAGTACTGATTCAGTGAGGAGCTTGTCCTCAAGGAAAACGTTGAATAAGAATTGATTTTGGGTTGCAGCGAACGACAGGTCACTTGGTCCAATTTGGTCCTGTTGCTCGCCCTCTAATTTCAGTTTAATCATTGCGTATTTCAATTGTTCTCAATTATACCCTTTAGGCCTTCAATATTTGTCCCTAGTTCATTCAATTTTTTCAATTAGACTCTCATGTCTTGTAATTTCAGTCTGAAGGTTTTCAATTATTTTAATTGTATCCTCAATTACTTTAATTTTAGCTCTGTTTCATTCATTCATGTCCTTGATGTAATTAATTAATTAATTAATTTTGTTTTTTGTATTTTGGTTCTTCTCTCTTTTCTTGTTGTTTTTTTTTATAATAACTACTAAAATTAAATAACTAAATAAAATAAATAAAAATAAGATAAAATAAATAAAAAAGATAATAATAAAAAAAAAACTTAAAAAGAATGAAATTGGAGGAAAGTATATAACATAAAAGTTTGGTTATGACAATAAAAAAAGACTAATCTACCCTGCACTCAATACAAGTTGATCACTTCCATTTATATGATGATTAACAAATCAAATATTATAGTTTCTACATTTTAAATTCAAAATAATTATATTCTCAACTATTTCTTACGTACAAAAGAAAAGCTCTTAATAACATATTTAGACCAAACACTTCTTTTCATAACATAACTTAATCCTTGAAAAAAAAATTTAAATATGAGAAGATGATTTCTTCTATAAATATTCGTTATTAAACCAACGTTAATTGAGTCATCATCATCATCATGATTTATTTATATTGGATATTACAACGTCATTAATCATAATATGAATATCATCACCTTGTCACTTTTCGTTTTAGCTTGATGCATAAAAACTAATCCCAAAATACTACCAAAATTAAAATTGAAAAAAAAAGTAATTTTATTGAAAAACTTTACCTCATGTTTAGGAAACAAGAATTTTTTTCCCTTCTTTCTTTTTCGGAAAAAGAAAAATAGAAAGAAAACAAAGCAGAACACATATTCTACATGGAAACTTTGACGTTTGAACTCATTATAATAAAACTAAAAGAAAATGAGAAACCACCGTAGCACTTCATTGTTCATTCACTATTCACCTTCTTTTTTTTCCCCCCTTTTTCGGTTGCTTGACTTCCAAGCTTTTACACTTTTTTTTTTTTTTTTGGATTACTAGCTTCCAAGCTTTCAAGGAAATTATTTTTTATTTTGATCTCTTTTTTCTAATCTTTTTTATTTTGATCATTAAAATTTTATTATATTTATTTTTTTTTCCATAATAAATAGAAAATGAGAAACCACTATAGCACTTCATTGTTCATTCATTGTTCACCTTCTTCTTTTTTTTTTTCCCCTTTTTTCGGTTGTTGGCTTCCAAACTTTTACACCTTTTTATTTTTTGGCTAGCTTCCAAACTTTTAAGGAAATTGGTTTTTATTTTGGTCCCTTTTTTCTAATATTTTTTTATTATTAAAATTTTATTATATTTGATTTTTATCCCTATAATAAATATTTTTTCTTGGCTTTTAGTAAAAATGTATGTTCTTTTTTTATTTCTATTTTGTGATATGTTTTTATTTTGGTCATTAAGTTTTATCATGTTTGATTTTTATCCTTATTATACTAAAACAAAATAAAATTAAAATAAAACTAAAAGAAAATGAGAAACCACTATAGCACTTTACTGTTCATTCACTATTCACCTCCTTTTTTTTTTTTTCCCTTTTTTTCGATTGTCTGGCTTCCAAGCTTTTACACCTATTTTTTTTTTTTTTTGATTGCTAGCTTCCAAGCTTTTAAGGAATTTTATTAATTTATTTTGGTCCCTTTTTTCTAATCTTTTTTTATTTTGATCATTAAAATTTTATTATATTTTATTTTTGTCCCTATAATAAATATTAAAATTTTATTATATTTGATTTTTATCCCTATAATAAATATTTTTTTTGGCTTTTAGTAAAAATTTATGTTCTTTTTTTATTCCTATTTTGTGATATATTTTTATTTTGGTTATTAAGTTTTACCATGTTTGATTTTTATCCTTATTATACTAAAACTAAATAAAATTTACTATCCTAAGCATTTTTTTTTTTTTTTTGGCTTTTAGTGAAACTTTTCTTTTTTAATTATAATTCATGTTTTGTGATTTTTTCTTTATTTTCGTCATTAAATTTAGTAGAAATTTTTTTTTGTTTTAGTCCCTATTTTGTAATTGTTTTTTATTTTGATCATTAAATTTTTACTATATTTGATTTTTTCCCCGCAAGAAATTATTTTTTACTTTTACTAAAAAATTTTGTTACATTTTGATTTTTTTTTTTTTTTGTGATCTTTCATTTATTTTGATCATTAAATTTTTATTAAATTTAATTATTATTCATTCTACACTAAAATTAAATACGAGTTTAACTATTCTCGGGTTTTTTTTTACTAAAAAAATATTTTCTTTTTTTATTGTTATTTTATTATTATTTTTTTTTGGTCATTAAAATTCTATAACGTTTTACTTTTGTTCCCGCCTTATGCATAATGAATTTTTTTAGACTTATTGTTTATATATATATATATATATATATATATATATATATATATATATATATATATATATATATATATATATATATATATATATTTGTGACGGTTTTTCTATTTATTTTGATCTTTATTTTGTTTTAATCATTTAATTTTTATTGTTTATAATTTTATCTTTATTTTCTTTGCCAAATTCTCGATATGAAAAAGATTTTTTTGTTTTTTTGTTTTGGGTGGTTTTTCTATCTCATTAACAAATTACATATGAATAATATATGGTAAAAATTAATCATCTAAAATTCAAAAAACTATCACATTATTATTTTAATTATTAGTTATTATACATATTTTAATTATATCAAACAATATCTAATTAGTAACATTATATTATTCAACTTTGTAGACTTTTCATTTAGTTAACCCTGTTGTAAATTATGAAATACATGTTTTAATCCTTTTTTTTGAATTTTTCTCATATGATACTTTTAAATAATTATTTTTAAATTTCTTATTGTCTATGAATAAATACATAAAAATATTATATAACTCACCTCGCAGGATGCATGCTAGTTACATGCGATTTGGACTAGGTTTATAAACCTAGTTAAAAGGCAAAAAAAAAAAAAAAAAAAAAAACCGACAAATTAGAGAACACTCACCAATAGACAAAAATGTCTAAGTAGTAAGATGGCTTGAGACGAAAAGTCTTGTTACCGTTTCAGGACAGACTGGGGTTTTCATTAATCATTTTAACTTATAAGTTTGAATCCTTTAATTATCGAATCTAAGGAAAACCGAACAAGAAAAGAATTGTCGCAATTTCAGACTGAACGAACACCAAAGCCCCTGTGCCCCCGTGCGTGCCAGAGTGATTAATAAGCACCCAGCTCAGCCGCATCTCTTTTTGAGCTAACAAAAAATTGAAAGAAAGTTAAGCGAGTAGAGAGGAAAAGCTTAGAGTAGGGTAAGGAGCATGGGAGATCTCTTTGTATGGCTGATAGCCTTCTTCATTCTTATTGCTCTACTTGTTATCATCATCTTTCAGGTCATTCTTCGAACCCCTTTATTTATTTTTCTCTAATTTACTTACTTTTCACTTGGGTCAGTTAAAATTTTTCCAAAGTTCATAAATTTGGTGATTTTTAGAATTTTAGTTGTTTCAAAACTAAGAAAATTAGGGTTTTGTGCTTGTTTCTATATATATTTTTTTTTCGAGTGCTTATTGGGTACTTAATCAGGTTTTAATTGTGTTTTTATAGGGTAGCTGCATACCTAAATTTGTCAGCATGTCGTCTAATTCTTGCTGATGGGTTGTTTATCTGATTGGTTTTGATCAATTCACGGTCCAACTTGATTAGGCCTGGAATTTATTGCTTTCTGTGGATAATGAAAATAAGATTATTTGAAGGATGATTGCTAAAGAAATTCAAAGAAAAGGTGTTTGGAAATTGCTACATGTGTGGATTAGTCCGGCATTTGTTTGCGTGTCTAAATTGAGGTCTTTGATGTTGGAAAATTGAATTTGACATTTTGAAGAATTTGTTGCAGCTTATGGCCTTGGCGGATCTGGAGTTTGATTACATCAATCCTTACGATTCCTCATCTCGGATAAATAAAGTGATTTTGCCAGAGTATATAACAGAAGGGGTTTTGTGCTTATTTTTTCTCGTTACAGGACACTGGTGTATGTCACTTTTGTGCATTCCGTACCTTTATTACAATGTGAGGCTGTAAGTTTTATCTTCTTCTCTGTTCAGTAGAATTATACTTTGCCCACATCTGAAATTTCTTGTTTATCTGTCTAGAAGAGAAAGATACAGAAGTAGCTTTTATGAGGAAAGGAGGTCTACTGTATTAAGACTAAACATTTATTCCCTTGAGTAATAAGGGTTCCCTTTCATCAATGCAGTGTGAATAAGATATTTTCAACTAATTGCTGCTCAATCCATGCTATAATGATTGGTTTAGTTGATTATTTGGTGGATTGTTTGACAGAAACATTCAGAATATCCAAACAAAGTAGTCGGATAGCTATAGTTTTAGAAGGCTTCAGTACTTAGAATTTCAGCCTGGATTGGTGCTTAGACTTGAGTTTCCATGTTTGGAGCCATGAACACATATTAAAGCAACCTATTTGTACCCCTATGAAGCTAAGGGTATCACAAGCTTCATACGGTTTCTGAGTCTTGCTCTCTATGTTTATTTCATGTTTGTCAGTCTATTGAATGCAGTCACTTCTATAATCCAGCCATGTCTGCATTAGAGATAGACTCATCCAAAATTCTGGTAGTACTCGTAGTGGATGAATCAATGCTTGTTTTTTCTCTCATCTTAACCTGGAACGGTCATACTCATGAAGAAGTAAAATCCTAATGATATCATTGTATATTTTACGATTTGTTTAGCTGGCATGCCCATATTACACTCTGTGTTGCCATTGTGAGGTTCTTAAGCTATGGTTCCCAAGTTATGGGGTTGGGGGGTCAGGGTCTTCCCTGATCTTCCAGACAAGCTGGATCGATTTTTTATATTGTTAGGTTTAACACACCCTTGCTAATCTCGCTGATAGAAGCAGCCTCATGAATTGTGTAAAGGGATCTTTGTGTAAATCATTTCATTTTTTGTAGTGATTACGACTTAACAATATGCTAATTTTTGTACTTTGCTGGCTATGTCTGGTGGAACATGATATGATTTGCTTCTTTTAACTTTTTTCTCCTTTTGATTAGTTACACACGAAGACAGCATCTGGTGGATGTGACTGAGATATTCAACATGCTTAACTGGGAAAAGAAACTACGACTTTTCAAACTAGGCTATCTCATTGTTCTCCTGTTTCTTTCGATTTTCTGGTGGGTGAAAATGCTATATAGCTGCTAGCTTTGAGATTATTGTAATCATTAGTGAAATAACTAAAGCAAGATTGTTTTACTTTTTTGTTTACATGGTTCACAGGATGATTTTGACTGCCTTGGAAGACAGTGATTATGATTAGTTGGGATAATTGCCTGCTTTGGTAGTGAATGCATTGGAGATATTGGGTAACATAAACTGCTCCCTTGTGCCAAATAAGGGGCCTGTTGTAACTGATATAGTTCCAGTTCCAGGATTGTAAGATTATTTAGAATGGTGCTGATTTATTGAATAACATTTGAGGTTCCACTGCTTTGGCTAAGTCATATGATTTTCTGGCTTTCTGCTGGTTTCATCTTCTTTTTATGTTACTTTTTGTTATTTGAATATCCTCTCTTGGTGACAAGATGAAGTTCAATTCAGTTCCTGGAACATGCCTTGAAAATAATGCAGTTGTAAGAAACTTTACAATCAATTCTAGGCCGAGTTAAAGCTTGTTTTTTGGGTTATCTCGTTTGATTGAGGTTACTTTTGTCTAATTTAAGTTAGGTTACTTATTTTGTAAGTAGTATGTTTGTATCGGAGTTTCTTTAAAATAAGTTTTTTGTGTATATGGGAATTAGTAGAAGAATCCATATTTGTTGAGAATGGAATAGTTAGTCCTTTGAAAGGACTTAGGTGACTGAAGGTACAAGTACTTCATTATGATAGGATCTTATGTTATGTAGAGAAACGGCTTGTGATTTGATTAGTAAAAACTGTTGAGACGTTTCTCTCAGTATGATGTTTTCTTGTGCTTTGTTTAAGGCGTGTTCTGTATTTTTATACTTAATCAATCAAAGTGTAGTGGAGTTTTAAATCTTGCTAAAATCGTCTTAGATTAAATCACCTAGTTAGATTGTAGTGGGATTGCAAACAATCAAGGTGTATTGAAGTTCTAAATCTTGTTAAAATCATCTTAGATTAAATCACTTAGTTAGATTGTATTGGGATTGCAAAAAATCTTGCCAAAATCAAGCAATCAATTGTTGAGGTTTTTACCGCTTGAAAGTTTCGGTCTAATGGCTGGAATTTTTGTTTTCATTAATCAACTTGAAGAGGAAGGTTTTGGATTTCTTACTCTTAAAGAATACTGTAACACGCCGACTTTAAAATCTCATGCATTTAAATATCGTCTTAGATTAAATCACCTAGTTAGATTGCAGTGGGATTGCAAACAATTTTGCCAAAATCAATCAATAGTTGAGGTTTTTACCGCCTGAAAGTTCGCCCTAATCAACATCAAGGCTGGAATTTTTGTTTTCATGTACCAACTTGAGGAGGAAAGTTTTGGATTTCTTACTCCTAAGGGATTCTGTAGCACCCGACTCTAAAATCTCATGCACTTAAGTGTGTTTGTATGCTTATTTAACATATGTGAATGATGTGTGTTTCGATGACAATATGTACAATTTTGTTCAGCAAATGTGTATTTTATACTTGCATTAATATTGCGATTTGAATCGATGTGTGAATAATTTAAGGACTTAATTGAAATAATTAAAAGTTTAGGTATTCAATTTAAATCAAGATGTAAAGTTTAGTGACTATTATGTAAACTAAAGATAAAGGCTTAATTGTAATAATTAAAAGTTTAGGGATCAAAGTTTAGGGATTTAATTGAATTAAGTAGTAAAGTTAAGTGACTTAAGTGTAAAGTGAACCAACTTAAAGAACTTTTGTTTTAATAAAATGGTTATTGTTAAATAATATTAATGTTTAAAATGATAATTTGACAAATAACATGATTAGCGGAAATTTTAATTTACATGAAAAGAAATTGATTTGATTTATATTTAGACTTGATGAAAATAAATATAACAATTTATTGTGTTTTAAAACTATCCAAAATTAGGTTCACATTTAATGAAATTGACTTAGTTTTCATATATTTTGTATAAATGAAAATGATGTTAGTTAACATGAAATAGATTTGATAATTTCTTATGTTAACCGAATTTGTCTAAAAGCATTTGAATAGAGTTTATGGAAACATACATTTTGATTTAATATTTTTGGATACAAGATGGAGTGAAACAATAAATTTAGTTAATTAAGTGAATTATTTGTTGCGTATATTCTTCATATTCTATGAAGATGACACGAGACTTTGTGTGAAGCACCGTCGGTAACATTTTTGTCCTCAAATAGATCGGGCATGTTATAAAAGTGGTATCGAAGTAGGTTTGATCTTGTGGGCTTTAATTTGCTATAATGGATCGACTAGTACACACAAGCTTGGATTCGGCAACATTGTCGCTAGTAAGTGTTTACATTAATTGAGTGCACTTACTTATTGTTAGTAAGTGTGTTGGTGCTTGTTGATAATTGTTATGGTTGCTTGTTGCTTGTTGTTTGTTATGTCTACTTTGTTTCATCTATATTAGTGTTGGTTGAATGCTATGAGTGTTTGAGTGTTGATTGTAAATTATAATACTTGGTTGGATGTGAGAAAATAAGGTAAGAATACCGAAGAAGAATAATAGTGGCGCATGATCAAGTAGGAGGGTGCTCGATCGAAGGGACAATAATTGAGCGCATTCTTACTTATTGTTAGTAAGTGTTCTGCTAGTAAGTGTGTTGGTGCTTGTTGATAATTCCTATGCTTGCTTGTTGCTTATTATGTCTACTTTGTTACATCTATATTAGTGTTGGCCGAATGCTATGAGTATTTGAGTGTTGATTGTAAATTATAGTAATTGGTTGGATGTGCAAAAAAAAGGTAAGAATGTCGAAGAAGAATAATAATGGTATGAGATCAAGTAGGAGGGCACTCGATCGAAGGGACAATAATGAGTCTATGAATAATTGTATTATGGCTAAATAAATGTTTGAGCTATTACAACAATAAGAAGAAATGGTGTAGTTGCAACGAGTAGAGGCATGAATAACAAATGAGGATGTTAATAGATATCCAACAACAACGAGTGGCGACAAGACCACCATAAAGAGTTGACATTGTTGAACGATTCGAAAGTTTAACTTGAAGGATTTTTCAAGCAAAACTAATTTGATAGCGAGTAGAGAAATGGATTGAATCTTTGAACCTTGTGTCATTTTCATGTTCGTTGGTGATGCTTGGGTATGGTGGGAATTAACAAAAATTTATTTGGACATACCGAACCTCACTTAGGTGCGATTTAAGAAAGTATTTAATGAGAAATATTTCTCGGATAATATGAAGTCAAGAAAAATACAAGAGTTTATGAAATTAGAGCAAAAAGATGTGTTTGTACTCGAATATGTTTGGAGGTTCGAACATGTGATTTTGCAACATTTATTTCGATAAAGCCGCCTAGAAGAGATGACATTCTTTGAGGGGTTTAAAACCCAAAAGTTTAAAGTTTGGTGCGAGTGTCAGTCGACGATTATGGTGAGATGGTAAGTAGGGCATTGGATTAGAAAGAGATAAAAAAAAGTTGCATGATTACAACATGTCGAAAGGCCATTAGCGGTAATCAACTTCGTTGAATGAGTTATAGTACAAAATCAGTTTGAGAAGGCACAACCAAATGGTGCTAAGAAGGAAAAAAATTTAAGAAGAGCAATAAAGGATAGAAACTCAAGACAAGCCAAAATGCATTAGATGTGGTTGAAAATATATCGATGAATGTTTAAGTAGCACTAATGTCCGCTATTCGTGTAATGAGGTCGGGCATATGGCAAGGGATTGTCTTAAAAGAAAGTCCACATCAAAAATATCAAAAAGAAGTGTATATTATGATGCGGGGAGAAGTCAATAAAGATTCACGAAGTGAGAAAATTGAACAAGGTAAATTTTGAGGACTTAATTTTTATGAGGGAAAGGATGTAACACCCCAACTTTAGAATCTCATGCACTTAAAGGTGTGTGGTTATTTATTTAACATATATGAATGATGTGTGTTTTGATGACAATATGTAACAATTATGTTTGGTATTTATATGAAATGGATGCTTTATACTTGCATTAATATTGTGCTTTGAATTGTATTACTAAATGTTTATTTTTGCATAGTTAATTGTTAAGCTGTTATATATGTATGAGTAACATAAGGATTTAATTGCAATAACCTAGGAACTTAATTGAAACAATTAAAAGTTTAGGTACTCAATTTAAATCAAGATATAAATTTGAGTGATTGTTATGTAAACTTGGAAAAACAAAGAATAAGGGTTTAGTTGTAACAATTAAAAATTTATGGATTAAAGTTTAGGGACTTAATTGAATTAAGTAATAAAGTTAAGTGACTAAAGTGTAAAGAAAACCAAATTAAGGAACTTATGTTTTAATGAAATGGTTATTGTTAAATAATATTTATGTTTAAAATGGTAATTTGACAAATAAAATGATTAGCCAAAATTTTAATTTACATGAAAAGAAATTGATTTGATTTTATATTTAGACTTAGATGAAAATAAATATAGCAACTTATTATGTTTTTAAACTTTCCGAAATTAGGTTCATATTTAATAAAATTAACTTAGTTTTCATATGTTTTGTATAAATGAAAATGATGTTTAGTTAACATGCAATTGATTTGATAATTTCCAATGATAACCGAATTTGTCTAAAAGTATTTGAATATGGTTTATAGAAATATATATTTTGATTTGATATGTTATGATACAAGATGAACCTAAACAATAAATTTAGTTAATTAAATAAATTCTTTATTGCGTATATTCTTCATATTCTAAGAAAGGGACACGAGACTTAATGTATCGTGTTCATCGTACTTCGTATGTGAAGCATTGTTGGTAACATTCATGACTGCAAATAGATTAGGGGGTTACATATTCAATTTGGTAGCAACAAAAAAATAATTTGAAATATTCGGTTTGGTTTAATTTTTCACAAAAATGGTGTCAAAATGCTCTTTTTCAAGAAGTTGGAAGCAACTAAAGTTCAGCTTGAATTTGATTTGTTTGGCTTTTGCCTTGTTAAAATTCAGCTCAAATTTGATTTGTTTAGCTTTTGCCTTGTTAAATTATTAGTATCATTAAACGAATTTGATTTGTTTAGCTTTTACTATGATATATTATTAGTATCATCAAATGCAAATAGAAGTTTAAGATCAATTAATTTTAGTAATATCTTCCGGTGCCTCAATGCGATAGTAA